AAAAAAACCCCAATGTCTATGTCATGGGTTAGACAAGGGATTCTCTAAACTTAGTGTGCTCAGATTACCTGGGAATTTTGTTAAAATGCAGATGCTGAATGGGGAAGTCTCAGGATTGATCCCTCTGTCTTGGGGACTTTGCTGAGTAGCGAAAACATAGAGCAACCTAATTTGAATTTCTCTCTAGCAAAGGTTCCCAGGACTCTGACATTGAGATGGGCCTGGTAATTCTCATGCAGGGCGAATATTGGCATCCATTGTACCAAACAACCTCACCCCAGGGTTGAGAAGAGTTTGGAATGGAGCGCCTATGGTGTTTGTTTCTGTGAGTGTGGGGCGAGCTGCAGACGCTGGTCTCATCCATGCGCCATGGGCTTCAACAGTGGTCCTGGCTACAGAAAACACGATCACTCTCCATAACTCTGGAGAAAAGGGACATTTACATGAAGAGATTATGGTCAACCTGGGCAAAGAATTACACCTATAAATGGTGGTGGGCCCCTATGATGTCCCCGACACTGGTCGCTTCTGCCGTGACAGCCGTGATCTTTACTCATTCACCTAACATTACCTGACTGTCGCTGTGCTGAAATATGGAGGACAGATTCACCCTGTCCACGTCATGTTTGGAACATTCTTCCTCCTTCCTTGTCCATATCCATTCATTTCATTCCCTAATTCACTATCAAACAGCAATCAATTCCCTCAGGTTTTACTATAATCTATAAAATCTATGTTGGTGATCATATCAGTTTTTTGACTTGAAGGATAATATGTTCTGTAGATTTCTTTTTTTCAGAATGCTCTGGACAATTAATTTTCTTTAGGTCAGATCACACTGCCTCCTTCATGAAAATTGGCAGCTTCACCTGTCAACCACATACTCAATGCCTTAAATTATTGACCTTTGTATTGGCCGCCTTTATTCTCTACAATCAGTCAGTTATGACAAACAACTTTCAAACACCTTTCTCTTGGCTCCAAAATTTACCATTGTTTTGCTTAAGGTCTCACCTCTCATGTAGAATGGAAAACATTCTTTCATCTAAGGCCCCCCTCCTTCTCCTGGCCTTGGAGCCTCTTAATGTCCAGGACGGGCACCTCTGCCATCATATTGTCAGCTGCAGAGATATCCCATCTGTCAGAACCGTGCACAATTAATTTGTTTACAAACATGGAAAACAAAGGCCTGGAATCAGGCTCTAGATACTGAATTGAGCAATACAATATGGAAGCAGATACATATTTAATATTGACCACTTGCATTGTCTTAATTGTCATTTATCCATGCATCAAGGTGGGGGTCATGGTGTCTGCGTTCAGAGACCCTCCACTCTAAATGAAGAAAAGTTCAATGAAGCAAACACGTGACATAAAGTCAAATAAGAATTGCTACTGTGAATAAGAGTCAGGTATTGCCACAAAGCATACCTATGAGAATTTGAACCAGTCAGGGAAGTTGCCTTATGAAAAGTTTTGATTTTGGGGGAAGAAGAGAATTAAACCAAAGTCAAGAGATATCTGGGCCTGCGAAGTAGAGGAGAGGCATGGGGTGGGCTTCTATCCATTTGATGATCAACTTGTTTTCCTTTTCACAGTGGATATGACCTTGGATGGTGACACAGCCAACAACTTCCTCCTCATTTCTGACGACCTCAGGAGCGTCCAAAGTGGGCACATCAGACACAATTGGCAAGACTGTGCCGAGAGATTTGACTTGTCCATTTGTGTCCTGGGCTCCCCTCGCTTTACCTGTGGCCGCCACTACTGGGAGGTGGACGTGGGAACAAGCACAGAATGGGACCTGGGAGTCTGCAGAGAATCTGTTCACCGCAAAGGAAGGATCCAGCTGACCACAGAGC